AAGCACTGGCATTATAGCTGTAGCCCCCCTAACACCACTCGCTCGTGTGGTTGATTTCTGAATGAGTCCTGCTTAACCATACTGAAACGCCAGTACTCTCTGCAGCTCTGTCTGGCAGTCGACATTAAGGGGATTGGATTGGATTCGTGGCCATGTGGTGGATTTATGATACTGTCTGGGGTTTGGCATGAGGGCCATATTCCCCCGTTTAGAGGAATCAGAATGGCAGCATGCAATATTAAAAAATGGTGCAAAATGAATGATTTCCTTACTGAATATTAACACACCGCCTTGGATGGGGAAGCCATGCAAGGTCATTAACGTGCACTGAAGAGACACTCTACATTAAACACTGTGTAATATTTTGGTCTTGCCCTATAAAACAGTTGATCTTCCATATATATATACTCTTTGTTACCTGGAAATGAGCTCTACACGGCATACTACATCAGAGCTTTAGCAGCCTGTAAAGACTACAGACTGGTGTCCAACAGGGTTCCGATACATTAACAGCTTTTAATTTTATCACTTTTAAGGGCAGTGTATAGAGCTGTAACCTTTGTATACAGTACATTTTCATTATTTACAAAAACTCTCTATGCCCACATGCCTGTGTAAGCTTTCTATTCCTGCGGGGGGCTTAGTTTACCTTTTGTTTTTTAGTAAAGATACCCTGCCTTACCAGCCTCTGTGGGCAGAGAGCTGAGAACTGTTGGAGCAAGCTGACTTCCTTTCTTCCAAAGCCTAATTACATTCCTGTGCAGTTCCAGGGCTATGATCCCAGGTAAATCACACACATCCACTTCCCACTTTATACACCTGGCCTATATCATGATGCCTTTGGTGGTGTTTTTAATCTTCTTGGGGTGATGCAATCTCACAACACAGTGCAAAATGTTTTATTAAGTCTTGGGAGACACGCAAAAAACCATGTCACATTTTAATTGTTTTTTTTCTTACTTTTATTTTTGTTGTTGTGGGTTGAGATTTTTCAGGCTTCCAAAATGTTTGACACTTTAAAATCAAATCTCAGAAGAAGCTTTGAATTCTTAGCTTAAAAAAAGAATCTTTGTCAGAACTGACTGAGGATCAAAACTAAATGTAGTCTATTGATAGTGCTGTTCTCTTGACAGAATGTCTTTTGCCGGAGGGTGTTTGCATGAAGTTAACAAAAACGGCAAAGTCAAGCTCAGCTCAAATGAAAATTAATTGGGCGATATTTTTTGGGGTGCCATATGGGGGTGACTGACTTCCCCAATGAATGGATCATGTCAGAGTTTTATGAAATTGGGTATGTGGAGATATATTTGCATGTTTGTGATATGTGTAAGAGCATCTGCTAAATGACAATAATGTAATGTAATGTAATGTAAATGTAATGTATCAGGACTACTGAAACAAAGTCCAACGTGAACAGACATAAAAACTTTTTTCACCAAGATAACGATCAGCCTGTCTATGCTTTCCAGGTTGTTAGTAGAAGATATCACTGTGTTCAAAAAAAAATCATAAAACCAATGCATTACTGCCAAACACGCACATTAAAAAATGAATGGAATGAATGGTGTTCGTGTATTTATGTATTTTGTGTTTATAAATCTCCAAATGGACATCAAGAACTCCAGTAATCCAGGCCTGGGAATACACACACCCTCTTGGCTTTGTGCTGCTGCCCTGTGGGGGGGTGATGGGTGTTGGGGGGTTTGGCCTGATATTACTCCAGTGAGGGACAGGCGTAAGACCACGGACAACCTAGCAAAGGTCCCGCAATCGATACTATCAAAGGCTGCAGATGCATCCAGCTGGGTAGAAGCTGAAAGCCTGCCAAAGCCACCCAGAACCTTTGAAAACTTTCTGCAGACTCATCCCGCGGGGGGGCAAGGCTCAGGCAAACTTCATCACTTTGACTCTGTCCAACAGGCTCTGTCCCGGGGGGGGTCACGGGGGGGCTAAAATGGCACTTGCTGTAAGAGAATATATATCCCAGATAAGACTGTAATTTTCTAACACCCCAAGAGGGACATTCTTCTCCCACAGCTCTTACGGCTGCAGTTTCTGAGCTGAAGGTGGCCGTACCTGATATTAAAGAGCAATTTAATATCTGAATCAGAAAGGAAGTGTTCAGCCATGGAAACCCGCTGGTGGAACCGTTGCAAGACAGATTCCATCAGCTTGGCATCGATGGCCGATTGATGAGAAGCTGAGAACAGGAGAGGGTTGACACAGGCAACGTGCTGCAGTGGTTCTTCACACATTTTATGTGTGCTGAAAACTATTAAGGTCATATGAGGTTGTTGTTTTTTTTTAATTCCAGAAGCTAATTATACTTCCTTGTCTCCAGCTGAACAACTATTGCTGTGACTTTTTGGCTGTAGATAAACCTCACATACCTATTCATTTTACATACCAGGACAATATCCCAGTGTTGTTGATGTCTTTGTTACTAACTGGCCTAATGCCGTGCCATGCCACATCAGGTAGCAGTGTGGTGCAGCAGTGAGGTGCCAGTATTATACCCAAAGTTCCCAAAGTTCACCGATTTAATGGCCAGGTTGACCACTACTGTCATACCCTTCAGAAAAAATCATGTGACCTGAAACAGCCAGTAAATATCCAGCTGTATAAATAAGTCATGTGACCTGAAACGGCCATTAAATATTCAGCTGTATAAATGAGTTATGTGACCTGAAACAGCCAGTAAAAATCCAGCTGTACAAATGAGTCACGTGACCTGAAAACAACAATATCCAGCAGTATAAACGAGTGATTTATAAGCTATGCAAGTTGCTCTGGATAAGTGATGCAGTGATGAGAATGAACCGAGACAGTGGGTTTGACGCAGCTAATGAGGAAGGCGCCATGCCTGGGCAGCTGGCAGAGAGAGAGGATCCCTCCTGCTCGCTGGCATCCCTCAGCAGCAGATCCATTCTGCCTGCTTTTCCGTCGCGTCCCTGACAGCAGCGGCTCCACTCGCTGAGACAGCTCCCGATGGCATCCCGTTTCTGAGTGGCACCCGCGAGTCGGGCGACGCCGGGATGTCTCGTCTCGTGCTCAGAGCGATGCCGCTCCTCGCACCGGGGGGGGCTGCAGCTTCCCTAAACGCAGCGGCGTTTGCCTCTTCTCCCTCAGGGTGTCTATCGGTTGCTGATTGCTCAGGTGCGCTCAGGTGGATCTCCAGCTGTTCAGCGCCGCCAGTGGAAGGGCGTGGCACTTTCAGTCACGGCGGAGGCCCTCCTGAGCTTTAATTCCCATCACACACTCGGATCTCTCTTTTATTTCACCGCTGGAAATGAGGAGGCCCTGATGCAGGGTGTCCAACGGGTATTATTTATCAAGAGGCAAGACCTAAAATATTACCTCTTCAGTTCATATCCTTTTGCTCCCAGTAGCACCTACACTATGTAGAGTTGTACTTAGCAGAGTGGTAAGCACACCAGGCACAATATGAAGATCGTCAGTTACAGAGGGGATGGCCTTTAGACACCCAAGTGTCAGGGTCAGTTAGATCCCCAACGTACAGTAATATGTATTTCACTAATGTATACAGTACCTTTGTAATGATTATGAAAGTGTATTAATAGAATTACATGATACTTTTTAATCAAGATATGTTTTCAGTGAGGATGTGCTTGAATCTTTATGCACAGTTTGGGGACATGTGGGTTTACCAGCAACTATCAGAGTTTGGCGTGTGTGTGTGTCTGTGTGTGCGTGCAAGCATTCATGGGGTGTTTTTCCCTGACTGTATGTTAACCTTAAGTGGGAGAATACATTCTGATTCTACAGTATATCGACTGTATATGTTTTTGTCTTTGTTTGAAGAGCATGTGTCTGTGCCAAACCCCTCTCCCTCTCTTTCTCTCTCTCTCTCTCTCTCTCTCTCTCTCTCTCTCTCTCTCGCAGGACTTCACAGGGCTCCACAAACAAGCTCTACACCACCCAGTACACAGTACATGCCGTTGTTCACAGAACCGTAAATATACAGTAGAATGCATTTTGCAACATATGCATCCACAATGCAAATTAAACTGCATTAATGGAACTACTCATTGCCTTTTATCAGGCTGTGTGTGTTTGCAAAGACTGGCCGCTCACTGGGAGAGAAGGTGCAGTGGATGGACAGGCAATTTATCTTTAAAAGGCATTCCTTGTACCTCCCCAGCCTGCTTCTAGCACACCTAACATGTGCCTTTAGACTGCAGGGGTGGGCAATTCCGGTCCTGGAGTCTACCACACACTGATTGACCACACGTTGCCATGACGTCTGAGCCTCTCCGCCATTGGCCGAACAGCACCACAGAGATCCAATAAATATTATAAATGCCGTGGCTTCCTTCCCACGGAAGGCTGTCATTTTACTATCGGCTAAAAGCTGATTCTGGGAAGGCTTATCAGCGATGAGTCAACAGAATTTGTCTGTACTGTAAATGATTCAGTTGCTGAATTATTTAATAGAAGCTATGCATATGAACAGCAAACAAGAAGTACAGCATTTTTAAGTCCTGTTTATTTGACCAAATTAGTATTTTCTGTCATCTGAAGTTGCTACAGAAAACAAAATCTCATTGCATTTCTGCTGTGTGTTTTGGGAGAGTTTCAAAACTGCAGACTCCATATGAGGTGAGACAGTAACCTAAGAGAATATTGGAAGGGGGTATCAACTCCTTGCTGGGTCATAGACCGTTTGTGAAATGGCAGAGGCGTCCAGCATGAGATTGTCACTGAGGGGGGCAGATATGTGGCGCTGTGTGTTTGAGAGAGCAGGGAGACTGCTCGGATCACCTGGAGACCAACCACGGCTTCAGGTTAGACTTTTCCACGAGTGACGCACGTCTGCACATAAACAGCATGTCGGTGCAATTTTAGGAGGAAAAAGATCTTTATTGGAGAAGCAAATTATGTAAATCCAGGAGAGTGGAGAACATTAAAAAAACATATCCATTTGATTCAAACCTCTAACTGTGGTTTCGGAGAAAAGAAGAAAATACACACACCAGACAGCATTGTGGTGTAGTGGTAACGTGTAGGGCTTATATCCAAAAAGTTACTGGTTCAATTCCCTGCTGGGGCACTGCTATTGTAGCCTCAGCACAAATTCAGCTATACAAAAGAATAGGACTCTAAGTCGCACTGTAAAAGAGCGTCTGCTAAACGAGAAAAACGCAATGTAACAAAGAGCATGTTGTGATGGCTGTGTCAGTCAGGGTGCCGTAGAGACCCGCCTTACACACTCAAATTATCGATAAAGGTGCCATTAGCTGTCCTCCGAAGCCTGGGATGTCTTTAACTGTGACGCTGATTATTTAAATTACAATACGTTATTGGTTACAAGCCAAAGAAAAACATTCTTTTCGAATCGAGGCGTCTTTGGTCAATAGTAATTATTTTACACTTACTTCACTCTAATTGCTTCGCTCACATTGAACTGAGAGACGCTGTTTGCGAGGGACCGATTTAGGACCTGTTTTTTTTCATAGAGAATAAAATCGATGAAGGAAGACAGGACAGTGCGCTCTTGAAAGTGGGACCTAACAAAGCATGAAAGACCACATGTAAACAACGCGCGGCGTCATGTCACGCCCTGCGCCGCCGTTTGCAGCCAATTTCACAGCGAAAGCAGCCCATCTCGCCGGTGAATGAGCCCGGCAATAAAGCCGATAATGGAGGACCTCAATGGATTTATTGGTTGCGCAGCTCCGAACGGCGCGTGGGTTTTACGGTCTCCTCTTTTGTTTTTGCACCGGAGCCGACAGATTTCTAGTTATAGTGCCAAACGGGCTCAAGGGAGTTATTGAAAGGCCAGGCGCACAATAGGAGGGACATTCAATCTAACCGCTGTGGGGCTTTGTCCTTAAGCGTGACTGGCAAAGTTAAGCACATGCTACTTTCTTTCAAATCCCACAAGACTGATGGCTGGAAATTTCAACCAAAAAAAAAAAAACACTGTGTGAGATTTTTCAAAAACAGCACTTTCCCTAAAATGTGTTCTTCAGAACTATCTCTGCCTGCTTTCTATCACAAAGAGCTGTAGTGGTTACTTTGAATGCTCTGCTAAACTTTGTGAGGATGGAAACCACTATCACCAACCACAACTGTGGATGTCTGATTTTGTACTAGAGGAGTGGGTATTTGTTTCATAGACTTCGCTTAGCTGCCATTCGGTGATATCTTAATTCAAGTGAATAATAATATGAAGAAAATACGTAAACATCACTTTAGAAACGCTAGCAAAACCTTAAAAGAATACAGCAACGTACAGTGTGTGTAAATATACTGCGTCGTGCTCTTTCCAATCAAACGATCCCACTCAAAAACCACAGCAGAACAAAAGCAGGCAGAAAGACGGGATATGACTGCGTGGCTGATGAATACCAGCGCAAACGCTGGCTGCCAGAGCCCGTCTGCCGCCGTAATGAGATTCTGAAGACTGTGAGAAAATTATCATTTGCGGCCGTATACCGAGCGCAAGAGCTGAGAGTAGCATATGGTGCGCGGAGCGAGCTGACTCGCAGCGAGCGTGGTTGTATGCCAAGCGGCAGGTAGCGCTGGCTGTGTGCGGCACGGACAAATGAAACAAGACAGGTGGTAGCCTGCAGCGCGACGCCGAGAAGGACACGTTTTATTTTATGTGCAATTACGGCTTAATGCACGCTCGCATTTTGAGGGAATGGCGTTCCTTTGCAGGCGAAGGGTTCTGATGGGGTCGCGTTCTTCACTCATCGAATGCATGCTAAAAGGGTCCTAGGATGGCTCTGCGACGGGAAAAAACAACTACGGGGAGAGCTTTTTTCATTTAAAAGCCAGCCCTGCAAACCGGCCCGTGCATACAATGAAATATTTTCCCCTTTTCTCCCTTTGAAATGCCTATTGACTTTTGTTTTCCCCAGACAAGTTCACATGAATTTCACGCCCCAATTAGATACACATCGTAAGTGATAACTTTAAGCTAACCCCCTGTTGTTGTCTCTGAGAATAGCCTGAGGTGTTCTTAATTTATTTTTTTAACTTACTAATGAATCCTCCCTGCTAATTAGTCAAAAGGTGCTACAGAATATGTATATAAATATCTTTTTTCTCCTGGCTCATTTCTGTCAGTGATTTTTCTCTCTTCGTCTCCTCTTTTACCAAACCATATTAATGTTGTTGGTTCCATTTATCATTTCATCAGAGAAAATGTCACATGGAAATTTCATTCAGATCTGCACTGTGGAAAAACAGCTGTTAAACAACTAACCTATAGCTATATCTTCAATGCTGATTTTTGGTTGTAAATTTTTTTTGTTTTTATTTATTTATTTATTACTATTTTTTATAGACTTGATGCTGCTTTAATTAATTAATTTATTCATTTAATGTCATATAAATTGCATTACAATACCACTAAATATCAAATAGTGTTCAATCTCTTTCATCCAATTGAATTGACTAGACATGACAATAAGGAATCAGCCATGATAGGTGGGTGCTTTCTCCTCTATCCAACAAAACTGCCATATGGAGGGTCTGAATGACATAGGGGTGTCTCAGGTGAGTGCATGTCTCTATCTGTAGAGAGGCCAGTATCTGGCTGTGAACTATATTGCATGCTTTGTATATAAGGGGCATAACAGAGGCCAGTATCTGGTCTTCAGCTGAGACTGCAACTGATGAACCCTATCTGTTTTTCTGAGGATGTGGGACCAGAAGAGATCATTAGGAGAGTTACTCTCAGATTACATCAGTGCTTTCATTAATATTTGACTTCTTTGTTTGTGAAAGAGCCAGAGAGAGGCACTTATGTGCATGCGTTTTGACTGTTCGCTATCGATTGCATGGCAATGCATTTCTGTTTCATTCCAACTGTGGTTCAGGCACAATTATCAGGGCCAAAGTTATGCCCAGAGAGAGGCTGGGTTTCCGCCCTTTGACTGGTTAGACAGAGACATCACTGGCAAAACAGGATGGTGTGTGGACATTCTGCCACTTGCAGATGGATTTTTATGACATCAAAACAGCACAGATTCTTTTTCACCTTCCTCTAACATTTCTGACCTGGTTCACAATGGGTTTAGTCCTCCTTTGAGTGAATTCTTAGTCCTGCTTACTCAATTAACCATGTACTTGGGCCTGTAGGTGCTGTATCATTTTATGTGTTGTTCCCCAATAAAACAACACATAAACCTTAATTTGGCTACCATAGAGCCGTATAGGAGGAAGCCCGTTTGGCCATATGAATACTAATTAGAAATCCAATTAATTTTACTCTCCAATGTTCAGCTGGGTGTAGCAAGAAAGACCAATTTGCTGTCTCAGTTTTAAATGACTGTGCTGCCAATATTACAATAACTTACTAACCTGGAGCCTGTCCTCAGGCTACTGCCTTGCACCAATGAACCATGGGAAGCACTGAAAATAAATACCAACAAACACCATGTATATTGAACAGTACAACGTATAATACATTTTACGTACAGTTATAAATCCTATGCTATTTTGCACTTTTGTAATAATAATGCATTGCACTTTTTTCCCCTGAATTTTACAAATAAATATCTTTGCCTCTTGGAGACCGTTAAGAAATGGTTTTCTGTATTCACATATTTGTAAAACAGCCTTAATAATTTCTCCCTGTAGCAGCAAGACACAGAGGTGGAGGATGACATCACTGGCACAGCAGGCTTGTCTGACACAATGGGAAGAGTGTGAGGCCTTTACCCAGCGCTAAGCCAGGTAGTGGGGGCGATGTGTACATTACACACCAGTCTGATAGCATTATATTACACTACATTACATTACATTACATGCATGTAGCAGATGCTCTTATCCAGAGCAACTTCCATCACAATAGAACATGAGTGTATCCATTCAATTTAAACGAGCAACAGTGTCAGACCAGGCCCACAACACTTCCAGACCAGTGAGTGTGAGCGTCACACTATTCAAGCCCTGCCACAAGTTAACGTGTGCACTCTGACAAAAGCCAAGTATACTACAATATAACAGTCCCTAGAACACAAATTCATAATACATCATAATACTACACATAAAATTCACATCAAATGCAAGAAGTAGCATGTGTTACGGGGTGGGGTGGGGATAGAAGTGGAACCGAGATGCAGTCTGAAGAGGCGGGTCTTCAGTCTGCGTCAGAAGATGGCCATGTAATATCAAGCTGCAGCCTGGGGTACTCTAGTGCATTTGCTTAAATGTCATGGCCATGGATAAAAAGTCCCTAGTGGGGGAGGGTCATGTGGATGAGCATTTTCGGGGTGTCCTGGTGATTCATGTGGCAGCTCACATGGACCTCAGGCTGTAAGGGGCCATCATGCCCATCTCTCTGACTCATCTCCACTGGTGCTGTTAACAGGTCGTGAGCCATATCGAATACTGTAAGGAGCAAGCCATATTAAACATGGCACTTTCCTGTGTCACCTTTCCTCCAGACCTGTTTATTTTCAATTGTTTAATTGAAATTTAACTTAATTTAACATGGTGCGTGCATGTCTGTGAATTTGTCTTTCCAAGTCGCTACTCTTTCAATAAACAAGCTCTTGCCTATTAATTGCATCCAAACAGGTTAATTGTTAATTTTTCACTTGTTAATTGTCAAAGTCTGTAGGTACGTAAGTGTGTTTACTTGTCTGTAGGTACGTGAGTGTTGGCCAGCTTCTGCACAGTGTGGTTGCTGCTAATTTCATTCAAAGCTTGGTATCAGCAACAATAACCTTAATGACCTGGCTGAGTAAAAACAAACTCAAGTGGTCAAGCCCACCTGTTGGCAATTATCCTTAATTTACCAAAGCTTGAGTATTTTTATGTTGCACAGAATGTGCAGAAATTGCTATGCCAAAAACACTGATTTCGAATAACTGCAACCATGTTTTTAAATATCTGAATTTAATGTTCTCTAAAAACACTTTTTACTTTTGACTAGGTCTTCTTCAGGTGACATGTAGTAGTTAACTACTGTAACAGTGACAATTAAACATGTTTTAAAGCGACTGTGCCTCACATGGAGGCAACAATTCACAGAGCAGGGAAAGATTTTACGAAACATCGTCAATTAATGTTATCCACATTTGAAAAAAGAAA